GGGTTTTGGGATTTAGAGTTGAGGGCTCAGTGACTAAAGGTTGCACTTGTTGTTTGTAACCCTTGACCCCACGACCCTTATGGTGAGGTTAAGCAGCATGGACAGCATGAGCATAATTTGCCACAGGTCATTGTGTTGACCAAATGTGTGACTATCTTCTGCATCTTCATGTGTACTTGTAATAATTGCAGTAGGAATGGGGGAGATTGAGCAGTAGTAGCAGTAAGAATAGTGGAGCCTTGGGACTACAGTACGCACGTAGCACCAGCTGTGGTACATGAAAACAAGGACAGCATGACACAAAGAAAGGAGCAACATCGACTACGATAACGACGACAAATTGGCCGCTATGGGAGGCTGTGGTTTGGGAGTTGAGGATTGACATGAAGGAGTGGATTTCGAGTGGAGCTGAGTTTGACGTTACAAGAGTCCGCAATTCCAGGTACTGAATAATCATATACTTACCCAAGACTTGCCCTCCAGTTGCTATTACAGAAAACCCAAGTACCTAATTATTGGAAACATGGACCCTCAGGGATTGTGCCAAGCTTGATGTGCAGGCCGACGACGGCAGCGATGGCGACGACAAGGCAACGACACAATGCAGTAGCAAGGTGAGGACAAGCGGTGGAGGAGGATGTTGCAGGTCATATAGGGATAATGGCAAAGAAAATGGAAACTACCAGATTATTGTTGGTTATATATACAGTTCTTGTATGGCGTGGTGAATCCCTAAATTGAGGAACAATTGGGGTAATATTGGGCTTATATTGGGGTAAAATTGGAATTATATTGGGCTTATATGGGCTAAAATTGGGGTTATATTAGGGTAATATTGGGGTTATGTTGGGCTTATATTGGGGTAACATCAGGGTTATATTAGGATTTTATTGGGGTTAAATTGGGCTTATCTTAGGGTAAGGTGTGGTGTTGTCATTGGGTTTCAATGAAACCTGTCTGTTCACCTGCGCTGTGAGGCAACGCGTCTGTCGAAAGCTACAGGCCCGGCCCAGCTCCTGCCACAGATTGCATGATGCCTTAGGAGGACCCCCCACCCTGTAATAGTGGTATAGTAGGAATATACGAGGACCCTCATATAATCCTTACTATTCCTTATAGTCACTATTACTGGGTGCGGGGTCCACCTAGATTATCCTTTATAGTCACTATTATGTCGGAGGTGCTGTTTGAGCTCCCCGCGACTCTTCAGAAGTGCCTGGATCGAAAGGCTTATGGTGAAGCCGTGGAGGCGTACTGCAGCTTGGTCGCAAGCAGTGATGCATGGACTCCCTTAAAGGGGGATAGAGGGGTCATATTGGGATAATGGAAAAGAAAATGGAAGGTAACTACTATAGTATATTGGGGTTGTATGGGGATAATGGAAAAGAGAATGGAAACTACTATTTAGGGTTTCGGGTTCGGGTCCCCTTAAAAGGAGGATCTTAGTTGCTGGCATCCTGTGCAACCCGACTTGTAGCTCAGGCTGCTGTTCGGGCTTCCTTCGCCAGTACAGGTGCTCCTTAGCAGTGCAAGTGCTGATGGCTGTATCTGCCAGCGTCTCTGAGAGGCACATGCCAACCTTTCAGAAGGTGCTGGAGGAGGTCGGTATATAGGGGTTATATGGGGGTAATATTGGGATTATATTAGGGTTATATTGGGGTTACATTGGGATTATATTGGGATTACATTGGGGCAAGCTTTTAACCTTTGAAAAGACTTGGCCACACGCGTTTCAGGTGGAATTGCAGATGGGGCGCATTCGTGTTGCGCTGGAAGACCGCCTCCGTTCTCCGGAGCTTTCCGTGGATGAAGCAGTCAACAGCTACTTGGCGCATGGATTGCTGTAATGTCATGTATCTCACACGTGGGTATGGAGCAAGGCTCCGTGACGCTGCTGGACCTTGGGGAGGATCAGGTCAAAGTTTCTGGCGAGTATCTCACTGGCAGGATGAGCACCTGTCGAAGCACATGATGCACAGAGTCCCTAATATAGGGGTAATCTAGGGGTTATATAGGGTATGTATTGGGGTTAAATAGGGGTTATATTGGGATAATGGAAAATGAAATGGAAACTACAGGGATTATAGTCCCTCTTAAGTAGATAGAATATTAGGGTAGATTATTGGGGCTATATAGGGATAATGGAAAAGAAAATGGAAGCTACTATGTTATAATAGGGTATATATTGTAATGTAACCTGACTTCGTCCAGGACCGGAGCTCTCCGAGGCAGCCTCCAAGCCTGTTTCGATGCCCCCGATGAATCACCAGGCCCGGCGCCTGAAAGGCTTTCCAAGATCTTTCTTAGGGTTTAGGGTTGTCAAAATTATTGTGCCCATTAGGGGAATGTTAGGGTCATATTGGGGTTACATGGGGGATAATGGAAAAGAAAATGGAAACTACTACAATGAGTTCCGCTTATGCTTCAGGTCCTGAGCCTGGTGAGGAGCTCACGAAGGATCAGGCATCACATGGTCAAAGAGTTGAGGGGGGAGCCAGAGATGTGGACTATAAAGCCCTTATTAATATATACCCAATTATACTATAGTAGTTTCCATTTTCTTTTCCATTATCCAAATATATCCCTAAACCCTGAACCCTAAACCCTAAACCCCAAACCCCAACAACCAAAATCAGGAGGAGCTTTGGCGGCCCGAGAGCCTGGCTTTGCATAGCGCCTGCAAGCGAGCGACAGAGGCTGTTCATCGAGCATTAAAGGGTTTTAGGGTTTAGGGTTTATAGGGGGTTCAGGGTTTATAGGGTTTAGGGTTTAGGGTTTTAAGGTTTAGGGTTTAGGGTTTAGAGATTCGGGGTTTAGGGTTTTTTTGAGAACAGTAAGCAGACGGTAAGCCCATTCTCTGAAAACAGGCCTATGTGCCCTTGCTCTGCGACGCCGTGGAGGGTCCCGGGCTGAAAGTTTGTCATCTTGACCCAAAGTACCCACTTGGCGATGGTCATGCCATGATCCCAAAATTTGATCAGGTTTTCAGAAGTTGCTGGAGGTTCGTTGCTCGTTGGCAAAGAGCCAGACTTTGCTTGCAAGCAGTTTTTTGACAGCTGAGTCTTGTTTGCTGCTCCTGGGTGTACACATAAATGATCATCAGGATCGGGATCTGGATCGGCAGTTGATGAAAACGTTCTTCCAGAATTCGTGAGCGCCAGAATCGAAGACCTTTGCGTGGGTGGCTGAGCCCTGTGCGGGAAGCTGAGCCCTGCATGAGGGACACATGCCCATGACACTGATTGCAAGGACCGTATCACGCAGCTGGTGGACAAGAAGTGTCCGCCCACACGAGTACTGGTCTCCTGCATTCATTCTGTTCGAGACTCCTTGAGGCATGGCCGCTCTCGAAAATGTCGCAACATCACGCGCATTTGCAGTAGAGTCCCTGTTATAGAATCCAAATGTTTGAGGGATACCGTTCTGAAACACGTCTTGTGTGACCGCGACTGGCACTGGGCATTGGATGAGTTCAGAGTTTGGAAACTTACAGGAGGTTGCCTTAAACATTCTGACGTCATGTAGCGTAATGCGTAAGGGCAGGCACAAGTATTCATCCCCAGATCGGATCCTGGCCTTCGCACCCATTTGTGGTTGTGCTTCATATATCACGTGAAACTTGTTAGGGATGTAGAATAGCATCGACAAAGGGTACTTCCGGGAAGCACACTGTTGAAGAGTCACTTTCTATGCCTCTCCATGCATCAGGCGGTTGCACTCGCTGCTGCCGGCTTTGCTGACACGGCTCTTTCGGGCCTTCCTGGGTCGCACGGTGCGGTGAAGGGCTTTTGTTCAGCATGTTTGCCTGCGTGCTCACGAGCTTTCAAGCAAACATCCGGTAGTTTGTCCGCATGAGAAGGAATAAGAAACGGAGTGCAGCTATCAAGGTAGGTTCAGCTTTCGATGATGTGATGCAGGCCATGGATGCCATGAAGGCGCTGTTCACCACTGCCTGCTCGGCGATGCTCACGGAGATGTGCAAGCTGCTGGGCGCTTGGCGGTGAGTCGAGCTTGGGCGAGTTGCTCTTGAGCCAAGCCTTTCTGAAGGCACCAGGAATGCAAGAAGCTGGGCGAGTCCAACAGCTCTGGCTTGGATGACGTCCTGGAAGAGATTGCCAAGACAGAGCAGTCTGTAATCATGTGGCTTGTCTTGCTTTGGGACGGCTCTGCAGGAAACATCAGAGATTTGCTGTTTCTGCATTTGGAGGCATGGATTCACGGCCTTGACGGAGTGCCAGCCGCTCCAAAGCCTCCTTGGCCCTGACAAGGACCGGCAGTTCAGGGAAAGCGGAGCAGGGGAATCCGGATAGGAGGGATGAACTTTGTCGTGTAGTTGCGCAACGTGGGTGCGAGCTGCGTAGCAGCTGGCAAATGCACGCCGCCATGCCCCGTTGTCTGCAAGAAATCTCGGGGGACTCAAACCTCAACTGGCCGCCTTAGTTCCCGGCTATTAGAGCTCATGCCAGCTTTTGACTGGCTGAATTTGCAGGTTGCAGGCCAGCAGCTGATCAGAGGTCTTCACTCTCAGCTCCTGGGAGCAGATTTGTGTGCGTTAACATGCTTGTACGCGAGCCATGCGGGGTAAGCTTGCCACATGGCTGGAGGTTGATTGCCTTCTTCACCACCTTCACGGAAGTCTGTCGCACATACGTGGCCTGGCTCGGGTTATGTCCCGAAACTTGGAGACGTGGAAATGCGTGGAAGATGCAGCCCCTGACTAATCTCCATGTTCTCATATCCGCCATCTCAAAAGTGTTGCCAACAGCCGGTGCTATGACCTCCTTGAATGGCGGCTGGATAAGTACAGCCACACATCATAAACAAAGCCGTCCGCTTTCCGAGCCGGGTCCAGTTTTTTTTTCTGTAAAGCTACGACGAGACCATGAGTGCCTCATGGTAGCATAGTTGCGGTAATCCACCGCAGCTCAGAATAATTATATGGTAGTTTCTCAAAATTGGGGGGTCCCAATGTAGACCCCAGAATATTATGATGGGGACCCCCAAAAGGTACCCCTAATTTTGGAAAACCCTGAACCCGATAGAACCCTATAAACCCCTATCCCGACAAAACCCCCTGTAGGAAAACCTTCATTTGGACAACACCCCCATATTGGCAAGTCGTGGTACCACATTATTGTATTGCTATATTGCCATATTACTGCACTACTACCCTAAAGCCTAAACCCTTCAAACCCTAAACCCTAAACCCTAAACCCTTGAAACGCTAAAACCCTTAAACCCTAAACCCTAAACCCTTGAAACCCTGAAACCCTAAACGCTATACCCCAAACCCTAAACCCTGGCCGTGGGCTTACCTCTAGGCCGTGTTCAAGTAACATTTCCGAGGCATCATCCTGAGGAGAAAAGGTACACGCCCCCCCAAAACAAAACCACAAAAAAAAAACACACACACACACACAACCCTTGAAACCCTGAAATCCTAAAATCCAAATGCCTAAATTTGTTTTTGGGCTCAGGTGGGAAGCGAGCTCGGCGAGGCAGTTCTGCCCCAGCCTGTGGCCGGTGAGATGAAGCAGGTGGCAGAAGCTTGATCCCAAGAATCTAATAGAGAGGATTATTTAGGGTTTAGGGTTTAGGGTTTAGAAATCTTAACCCCTTCAAGGGGGTTCTAGAGAGGATTTTTTTAGGGTTTAGGGCTTAGCAGTCTAAACCCCTTCAAGGGGGGGTTATAGACAGGATTATTTGGGGTGTAGGGTTCAGGGTCTAAAGTCCTGAAGAAGATTATATAGGGGATGACTTGGGGTTAAGGGTTTAGGGCCCGTGTTTGGTTGAGCGATCTGCCCTCTAGGGGTAACGTACCATAATAATGGAAACGAATGCGGAAACTACTCTTTCGGGTTTAGGATGTCAAGTACATGCGCGCTCCGAGGATCTTGAGTGGTCTGGTCTGTTTGCTCTTGCGCTGGTGCGGGTTGGCCGGCATCTGGAAGTGAAAGCCATCAACAAGGCCAGACTTCTCAGAATATCTAAATAGCAGTGTCCATTTTCTTTTCCATTATCCCAATATAACCCCAATATACCCCTAAGTAATATAACCATTACTGTTCCCAGCTCACTGGTAGTTTGTAGAGACTATCTTCCAAATGTAGTGGTGAAAAAGGCATCGCCTTGTGCAGGTCTGGGGCGTGGCGAAGGATCTCTTCGAAGGTGCAGAGTCTTCAGCGGGTGAACTCCAGCCGAATGCCACAGAGACTTGCTGGCATTCTCAGCTGCTGTCAAGAAGCACACCTCAGGGATAACTTTGGAAATGAAAGCCCCAATTCCAGTTCACCCTTGCCTGTCAGGTGTTGAAAGCAACACGGAATGCGGCACAAGCAGTGATCACTCAATATGTGCCTCGTCAGAATGAGCCAGTTTTCGGTGTAGCCAGTGCAACCATGCAGCCTGCCTTTTCTGCACTCACCCTTCAAGCGAACTGCCGATCGTCGGTTCGTGCAGATCCGAAAGCCGGATGCAGGTATAGAACTTCAAAAAGATGTGATCAATAATGATATGAACAATAACAACAATAACAACGTAACAATAGTAACATTAATATATTAAAGCAACAGCAAGAATAATGTAATAGTAGGAATAATAAAATCATAGACTAATGTAACAGTAGCAATAATAAGATAGTATCAATGATAGTATTGTAATAACGCAATGAAAATAGTATAGTAGTCAGAATATAGTAATAGTAATAAACAATGCTAATGGTAGTAGTGATAATGATAGCTCATAGCTAAGGCCACGATGAGCGGACAGCGGCTCGCACACTTCTTTAGGAACTCCGTGCAGAGTCGGAACTGGATGACAGCAGCCTTCTGAGAGTTTGCTGTAGGGTTGTTCTTTTGAAATGACTCACAAACTTCAATATTATAATATATATATAAAACCTAGAGAATCTATATGAAACATATAATGTATGTCTATGCAAGAATGTTATATAGCATTCATTAAATTCATAAAAGATTAAATGAAGAGGTAAACAGTCATATATTGATGTAAATGTCCAGCTGACAAGGTGCGTGAGCCACAAGAGCCGCGCAAGGTGGTAGAGATGGTGCTCCGAGAGGTGCAGCATGGACCAAACACACATCCCTGGCCTGGTAACCCTAATGATGATAATAGTAACAATATGAATAATACTAACAATATGGATAATAATAACATAATTACATAATAGTAACAACACTGTAATATATTACTAGGACGAATATTTGTAATAATTGGGAAGTCTTCTCGGATATCGTGCGGGCCTATGATTGCAGGTGCATGCCTTCGATGCACAGCTGGCCCGGCTTCTGGGTGATCCCAGGAAACCCAAGACAGGCTGTCTCTCACAAGGGAGGGCTTCTCAAAATTAGAGAGCCTCATGAAAACTTTAGGGACAATGAAAGTGACTCTGGGATTCCACAGAAGTTTATAGTTTATAGGGTCTGCTTCGGCCCACCAGTGTGATCTTTGGAGGTGATCACCGAAGGAACCTGGCCCGCTTCAAGAACTCCATGGAGTTGGAGGTTGAGCGCCTTTGGGCAAAGAAGCTCCAGGAGCGACATTGCTCATTCCGGGCCAGACATCACGTGGAGCTTGATACAAATGCCCAGTGTATTTATACAGTCCCCCTTAAGTAGATAGAATATGGCTTTGGGGTATATTATAATAAGATCCCCATATACCCCATATTCTATCTACTTAAGGGGGACTATAGATGGCTATGCACATATGGCACATACAAATAAGTTCATGTTCGCTTGTTTCGTGTGCGTGTGTAGTGTGCGCATTGCATCTTTCGGAACGCCCTCTTGTTATTGCCGCGCTGCAACTCGCACGTGGGCGTGGTTATGTTTGCTGTGTTGAGAAATCCTGGGATCTGGCAGGTGTTCGCACCGATTCCCTTCAACAGGAACGGCGCCGTAGTCGGAATCTTACGCATAGCTTTCAAGGCCAGGTATCGTGCATCTACCCCTCCTTATTCCTTGTCCCGTTCCCTCTGGCCCTGTCATGTCTTGGGAGGCCTTCTTTGAGTACGTGCGGGAAGAGACCTTTGGAAAGTATGGCCTGCAACAAATTCAGCTCGACTGCGCCTTTATTGGGGAGATGGCCCGCATCTCAAGTGGGCAGGGGTAACCCAAGATGTCAGGGACGGGGATTCAAGCGCTGCCTGCGTGTGGGACCAGGTCAGGGACTTCGTCGAAACTGATGATGCCAGCGTACTGGACCTTTGGCAAACTGTTCCTGCACGCAGTGCCATTAGATTCTGCACTGCCTGCCTTGCAAGGATAGCTTGTTGGATGAAGTGGTCGCTTCCGCCCAGCTACGCTGCGTTGAGCCTGTTGCAATGGATGCGCGCCTTGGCTCATGCTCCTGACACATTTTCTGTTTTACTTGATTTGTTGCACGCTGCTTGCGAGCTTCAATCCGCGGCCGAGGTCAGTTGTGGAAGCGAGGTGCGAAGAGCAGAAGAAGAAGTTCAGATTTGATTAGTTGCCGATGCATGTGAGTGAGATTTGCCAGGGGGGCCTGTTCAATTATGTAGTGCTAGAGCTGGGCGATCGAAAGCCTCGATGGGATCATGCTGGGCATCATGACATGTAGAAACAACACACCACCAGCCTTCAAGGGCATGTGAGCCTTCACGGACAGGGAGCGCGCTGCTCCGTCTCACCCGCCAGGACATGGTACAGGAAAAGCCAGTTCCAAGCGCGCCTGCTCCAGTTGCCTTTCTTGTTTTCCATTGGTGTCCCCTTTGAACTCATCCCCCAGGGGCCTTAGGCCCCAAACTCCAAACCCCAAAGCCACTCTGGGTAGCAGGGCTGCTGCCGCCGTTGCCACAATGGAAAATAAAATGTAAACTGCTATAATGGGTTATATAGGTTTTATATAGGGATAATGGAAAATGAAATGGAAACTACTATAGTATAGTGGGGTTGTATAGGGATAATGGAAAATGAAATGGAAACTACTTTAGTATAGTGGAGTTATGCTGTCGTTCAGTTGGACATGACTGCGGAGCTGTTGGAAGCCCATTTTTGCTGAGGCACTGGTGGGGCAATCGGTTCGTGGATCTGTGTGCTGCTGTCGTTGCTGATGCGTTGGAGGACCTAGATTGTTTACATGGAAGTCTTTGCGAGGAGCTAGGTAATCTAGGGAAGGTGCAAGAAGCGTAGCCATATTCCACCGACAGTTGCACAAGGAGTCCAGCTACGGTCTGATTTCGCGCCTGCTCCAGAAGGCCTGCAAGCATTGCTTAGGCTGCCTTAGGGCCTCTGACTTTGAGAGCCCTCAACTGATGGTTTCCAGCCTATGACCTCTGTGGTTTTTGGAGGATGTTGACGTCGTTGAGCGCATCCTTGAGCAATGTGGGCGACTCCAAGACTGCTATTGGATCTGTGCCTTCTGCCCTTTGGCCGCCTAAATAAACCCCAACAGGGATCCTTATGACGGTTTCCCGAGCTCATTCTGTTTTGGAGAAAGTCTCGTGCGGAAGAACAGCCTGTGGCTGCCTAGAAATGCTGCCCCTAAGCACCCCTGAACCCTAAGCACCCCTGAACCCTAAGCAAATCTAAACCCTAAGCACCTCTAAACCCAAAGTATCCCTAAACCCTATGTATCCCTAAACCCTGAACTCCTTGAAGCTGCTTGCGAGGTGTCAATCAGCATGCTTGTATATGCGCCTCTCGCCTGTACAAGCAGGGTGAATCTTCAGGATGTTGATGACGAGCTTTAGCATGTTGGGGTTCCCCGAAGGTAGGGCTACCTTGTCCCCATAATAGGGACTATAGTATTTTGGGGTCTTACTTGGGATCCCCCTACTTTGAGAATTCCCGTTTAAGCTAAAGTCTAACCTCCTTAAAGGGGGTTGTATAAGTGATTACATATGTGGTTTTTTATCGGGGGCTATTCAGGGATCCTAGGAGTTTAAACTATGGCTCGTGTGTTGGCAGTGCTTGTCAGGACAATAACCATCACTCGAAAGACTCTCTTACGGGCCAGCGACATCCTGTTTGTGATTGCGGACTTCCAAAGCAACATGGTTATAGTTTGAGAAATCTGTCTTGTTGCTTGCACCACACACCAGCTCAGGGAGAGGTTATGTCAGGCTGGCGGAGATCAGATTCCTGCTGTTTTGGCTCAAGGAAAGTCTTACATGTAGACTAGCTTGTCCGGGCGAAGAGGACCATTTTGTACACGACAAATGCAAGCCTAGTTGTTGAGCAGCCTCCTGCGAGGACATGCTTCGAGCGTCCCTTCGGTCCCGGCTCCTTGCAGCTAGATGCTGGGTTACTGTTAAGGAACTTAAATTAAGTTGCTATATTGGGGAAACCCTATTATTTACTATATATGCCCATTATGGTAACCCTACACCCTAAACCCTAAACCCATCATGGTAACTTAATTTAAGTTCCTTAACAGCGACCCAGGATGGAGTCGTTGCCTAGCCACCAGGACATCCAGGACCGGTGCTGCTGATCCAATGACAAGTGTACTGTCGCTTGTGGTCCTATGTGAGCTATACTCTAAACTCCTTAATGGGGGGTTAGATAGGTGATTATGTATGGGACTACTTCAGGGGTTATTAAGGGGGATACTAGGAGTTTAGACAATGGCTCATGTGGAATTCGAAGGAAGGGAATTTGGAATTCTTTCAGGATTTGTGTATTTGGCCTGTAAGCATCTCAGCATATCTCAGCCGTCAAGTGCGAATTGATACACCAAGCTTACCACTGTACATGAAATGTCCTCGCGGGGTGGGAGACAATTTCTTGCGCATGACACAGCAAGCTTTCAACCCCTTGTGAGCCTGGACCCTTGTGGTAAACTGACATGGCGCTTGCAAGATGTTGGCGCTCCTCCTTCCACATCCTACTGGGTTGCTGTTAAGGAACTTAAATTAAGTTACTATATTGGGGAAACCCTATTTTTCACTATATGCCCATTATTGTAACTTAATCTAAGTTCCTTAACAGCAACCCAGCCTATCGGAATCGTATTCAAATTTGCGTTTAGTGGTCATAGGAGCCTCCGCCTTCACGGGCGACCGCTGCCGCTGCTGCGGCCGCTGCCACGATTCCTCGTTGCTCCACGGGACTTAGAAGGACTGAAAAGTACTTGGAGTGACAAGTTCGACAGGAGGCAGTTGGGCAGTTTTCGTGACAGCTCCTATTGTGTCAAATTCTGAAAGTGATGTCTTAAAGGCTGTTTGATTTTCCCGAGCCACATGATGTCGAAATGCGTAACGCATGAGCTGTAAGGCTGCGAGTGCAGAAGGAGGTGAAGCTGGCAGTGGTGATGGAGAACAAGGCTATGGAGTCATACATGTAATCAGTATCTAATACATGAGGCACATCACAGGTTCCCGTGTGACTGCGGTTGGGAAGCCCTCCTATCCCAATACCTTCGGAAAAGTGAGCTGTAAGCTCTTGTCTCCTTGCCTGCAGGTAGTGGCGTTGAGGGTGCGGCAGAGGGTTCCCAAGGCTCTGGCGAGGCGCCTTCCGCGCCTTCCGAAGACTCAGAGACGCTCTATGCACTGCCACTCTTCCGGAAGCCAGCTTTTCCTGGGCTGCCTGGCATCATTCGGAGGAATTTTGTTGGTAGGAAGGTGGTACTTCCCGGCTTTCTCAAGGTTCTACCACATTGTGCAGATCACCTCGCCAGAAATTTTCGATTTCATTGCCAATCTACAGTCTGCCGGCTCCGGCGACTTCTTAGCTGGTTTTTTGACCACCGAGATGCCGGCCGAGTTCGCGGACAGGGGTTGAACAGGTATCCAAAGCGCTGAAGGCTGTCCATGGCACATGGCACATGCCACATTCAAATTCTCCCGCATAATATTCCCCTGAGGATGCTCCGCAGAGTGAAACCGCAGCGCCATTGGTGTCGCTACCTCCGGACTCGCAGCCGCAAGCAGAGAAAAAGCCTCAGCGAAAGGACACCGGCAAGGCGGGAAGAAGGATGCCAAGTGAGCTACGGACTAAATTTAGGTTGGACGGGACCTAGGTTTTTTGGGGGACCTACTAAGGGATATACTACAAATTTAAACCAGGGCTCAAGTGTTTGGGTTTTTATTGCTGTTGGCGCGGTGAGGTGGCAAGTGCGGATGAGCTCTTTGAGGCACTGCCTCGCTTGCCCGCTGTCGTTCTGCGAATCCTGTCTGTCTGAAGGTCGGCACGAAGCTGCAGGTCCTTCGCTCTTGTTGCTGCAGTGCGGTAATGGATCTCCTTTCCAAGACTCATCTTGGCAGGTGGTGTCCTTGAACAGTCAAGCGCCTAACGGCAGTGGCGGCAGCCTTGTCGTTATGCCCACGGGCAGAATCCGAAGAGTCGCCTGGCTGCGATGACATTCTGCCCTTTCTCCCGGTATGCAGCTTAGGTCTGGGAGGTAGGCTTCCGGTAGCTGGAAGAACATAGAAAGAGTATTTCGCGCCATGTCCTACAATTTAATCGCCAGCGTATGGTGGCAGCTCACTGCTGTGCAGACCATGCAGGAACAGCATGGCAACTAGGAATAGATCTGTAGAGAAGGTGGTGCGCTTCTCAGTGGTCCAGAAAGAGGACAAAACTCTTGGTTCAAGCCTATTGCGCAGCACGCTTCAGAAAAAACAGCAATAAGCAGCCCCAACTTGTATATTGGCGTTGAAAGGGGGGGAGAGGGAGTGCCAAAACAGGGTTGGTCATCATGGTGGAAGAAGCCTCATTACCCTAAACTCTAAACCCGAAATTGTAGTTTCCATTTTATTTTAATCCGTTATCCCAATATAACCCTAAACCCTAAATAGTAGTTTCCATTTCCTTTGCCATTATCCCAAATAAGCCCATATACCCACAAGGGCCCCCATTACTTTTGGAAGGTTGCATCCCGGCGAAGACAAACCAACCTCAAACATAGGGGTCCTTGGGGTTATATGGGGTTGTATTGGGATAATGGACAATGGAAACTATTATTTAGGATTTAGGGTTTAGGGTTTAGGTGCTCCGGGAGGGGGGTTTAAGCGGGTGGAACACCTTCCTCACCATGGGTGGCTGGATCCAAATGCTCCAGGCCCCAACCTCGGCGGAAAAAATGACAACCCTGACCTCATGTGAGCATTGGTTCTTGGGTGCCGGCTGCACTGTTACAGTCAGCACCAGCCCTCCTAGGGGAACCATCCAGAGGCCGGATTGAACGAGATATGTAGGTCATGCTTTGCTTCCTAGAGTATGGCCAGATGTGTAGCCACCATCCTGAGCGAGGTCGCTGTTTGCCAAGCGCTCCCCCCAAGATCCAAATGAGGCAACCGAAGTAGGGGCCGCGTATCCAACATACTGCAGACGCAATAAGCACTGCCTAAATGTCGCCACTCATGTAATCCTTGCCCAGACACCTGGAAACATCTGGAAACACGTTTTGTGGAATCCCCATATCAGTTTCGCCGAACACCATGTACTGGGATGACCACCCCAATCAACTTATTGGTGCTGAATGGCAAGCGGGGCATAATGATCCCCTACTTACTCCCCATATAGACCCCTATAATCGTCCCTGTATTCACTCCGCACCAAAGGTTATTTGGGTGCAATCCTGAACCCTAAACCTTCCCTTTTTCAGGGCCTAGCAGGCTATTATATGGTAATTTCCCAAAATAATGGGTACCCCAAAATAGACCCCAATATATTATAGTCCTTATTATAGGGACCCCCAAAAAAGGTACCCCTAACTTTGGGAAACACCCATATGGTCCAATAGCCCATCCTTAAGCACCAAGGTCAAAACGACCTTGGAGCCTGCAGCTGGCCGGCCCCTTTGTCAGGTGGGATTTTCTGAGAATGGTCTCAGTGTTTAGGGTATAAGGTTTGGGGTGGGTTTAGGGTCTCGGGTGTGAAGGGGTGTACATAAAGGAACCTTAACATGCATACACATACAAAATATATATGTTACACGATGGCGTTTCCCCATGGTGACTTCCTTCAAGCTCTTCAACAGCAAGCCAGCAAGAGAGAGCCCCATACTCCCCTCATAATGCCCACGCCGATGCGTTGATCGAAGGTTCAAGTATGGGCCCCTAACTTGGGCTCTCAGGCCTTTTTAGGGGATTTTGGGGACCCTTAAGGGTACACATAGGGTACATAGTAGGTATATAAGGATCCCAGGGTTAAGGGCCCATACCAATTAAACCACATTTTCTAAACCCTGAAAAGTAGTTTCCATTTGCTTTTCCATTACCACTGGTTCTACATTAGGATTTCAATTGCAGAGGGTCTTCTTCGGAGAAAGCGACGCCTTGGGCTCGCGGTTTTCTGGAGTGCCTTGAAACCTTAAATTTTTGAAAGGCTTCCGCAACCCTTTAGGGTTGAGGGTTTAATGTTTAAGGTTTAGGGTTTAAGGTTTAGGGTTCAGGGTTAGATCCTTGAAAGGCTTCCGAAACCTTCACCAGTCCCTAGGATCCTTACAAACTGCAATAATGTAAATCCCTCCCCTCCTTCCAACAATGAACCACCCTCCTGTATATTATGAGGAATGTCTATTATTAGGGGGTTGGGGGTTCCGATTATTAAAGCGAGGGGATTCACAGAAGCTGCCTGTCTCTGTACTACTCGTTGGGGCCCATGCTACAGGTGGAGGCGGTGCCGCTTCTGTCCAACAAAGCCACCTGGACTGCATGCCGGTCGTTCCAGCTTGGTCCAGGATTCCAGAAAATGCTTCGGCTCATTCTCAGAGGAAAGGGCTCCAAATCTAATGTTTGAAAGCTGATGCATCCACACTTCGGTAGGCCAGACATATCCTTCATAACTAGGCTCCTGCAATGCCCGTTTTGCTTACCAAGCCAAGGTGCTCAGCGCTGCTGATGCAAGACTGAGCATAGAAATTCGTGCGCTGCACCACGAAATGGTTGCCACCATGAAGGACGACTCAGTACTGGCTTGCTACAACTCCTATAATTCCCTATATACTCCCAGATTCCATTGAATTTTCCATTTTTTCCATTTGATTCTCCATTATGTCTTGATAATACCCTCGTAGGGTAATTAAAGGAGGACTCAGTAGGTCACAACCTTGCCATCCCCTGGAATTGGGATTAGTAGGGTAATACTAGGGATAATGGAAACTACTATAGTATAGTGGGTTTATACTGGGATGATGGAAAATACAAGGGCAGCTACTATAAGCCTAAACCCTAAACCCTCAACCCCAAACCCTAAACCCTAAAAGCTAAACCCTAAATCCTAGACCCTAAACCCCAAACCCGGACTTATGCGCTGCAGCCAGGAGCTGCTAAAAATGCAGTTCGTGAACAAGGATCAGTTCGAGCAGGTGATCAAGCATCTCAGAAGAGAACTTTTGCATCGTGCTAGTAGTATAGTCTCCCTTAAGTAGATAGAACATAGGGTTTAGGGTTTAGGATTTAGGGTTTAGGGTTGAGGGTTTAGGGTTTAGGGTGTAGGGTGTTTTTCATTAACAAGATAGAATATGGGGTATATGGGGATGTTATTGTAATTTAACCAAAGCCATATTCTATCTACTTCAAGGGGACCAGAGGACCATACTATTATTGTTACAGGTATTGCTATGCTTTTTTACTATTATTACTATTATTGCTCCGACGTATTGTTATTATCGTTATCTTACTACTATCATTAAAACTATTACCATTGAAGGTAGCTTGGTCACTTGTTGAGCTCAATCAGTGCCGTGACGCTGCGCTGAGGTACTACAGCCTGGATGACCCTCTGAAGCTAGCCGACCTTGCTTCCCAGCAGAAAAAGTTGGTAGCTCCCAAACTCAGGGGTGCACTTTGTGAGGCTCCCCATAATAAGGGTTACAGAAGATTGGGGTTGATATTGGGGTCCCTCTGTTTAGGGAAGCTACCAAGTAGATCTACGAAGCAAGTCCAGGCTGCATCACCTGAAACTAGAGTCTAAAGTCCTGAAAGGCTGTTTGTATTAGGGAGTTTATATAGGGGACCATTATAGGGATTATTGAAGGGGATACTAGGAGTGTAGACTATAGTTCATATAACCTCTTTATAACCCATTCGATAACCCTTATACTAAACCCTACACAACCCCCATAATAACAGACCCTGAACCCTAAACCCTAAACTTCCGTAAGCCCTATATTATAGGCCTTATTAAGGGGGATACTAGGAGTTTAGATTATATATAGTATCTTATGGAACCATAATATTGGTAATTATTTAGGCCATAATATACCATAATCTATTATAAATACTATAATATACTATAATGTACTATAATAAACTATATTATTGGATTTTTTTGAGCCCCTAGCTCATCTCAAGCCTAGGCTGCTGGCATGTCCAGTGCGCCTCGACAAGATCTGCAGGATGTGTTGATGTGCGAGGCACGTGGCTTTTGTCTCTTCGCAGATTCATATGGGAGTTTCCCAAAATTAGGGGTACCCTTTTGGGGGTCCCAATAATAAGGACTATAGTATTTTGGGGTCTATATTGGGGTCCCCTTATTTTGGAAACTACCATATCTTCTGGAGAGGGACCTATAGGGTTATATGCTTCAGGGAGTGGAAAAGAACATGGAAACTGCTGGGGTTTCTACGTTGATATATAGGGTCTAGGGTTTGGGTTAATGGAAAAGAACATGAAAACTATCATAGTGAAAAAGAATGGACGGTGTAATGGAAATCGGGATTATGTAGGGGTCTATCGGGATTAGAAAGCGGCGAGCTGAGCTGTCGCAGGACGCCACGGAAAGACTGCGGAAGGTATTGCTGATCTTGAAAAAGGACAGGTGCTGGAGAGGTGTGCTAGGGTGTTCTTTCGTACTCCTGCGTTTGACGATTACACAGATGCATTGCATGTCAGACTTCCAGGATCTGGAGAGCACTCGGTTGCAGAGCCAGCTGGTGCCTCAGGCACAAGCATCGCTGTGTCCTGCTCTCTTCCTGTGCTTGTAGGAAACTGCGGGTGTGAGTCTTCGAGTAACTGCTGCGCTGTGCCAAGGTTTCGGACACAGATTGAGGATAAGTTTGCAAAGGAGAACAAGCACCTTGAACGCGTTGCGTGCAGGTTGCTTGCGTTGTTCTAAACCTCTGCGGCAGGCACGGCGCGCGTGCAGCTGTCATGTGTCACTGCTAAGGAAGTTCATTCTCATGCAGCAGCTTCGATACATCAAGCGCGAATTAAACCTGGAACGAGATGACAAGCAGTCCATCATTGCTGCATTCAAGGCCTGCTGCTGCACGCTCACTGTGAACCCATGTTCAATGACTTCTGAGCTATAGTCTGTATCCTCCTTAGTAACCCTTATAATACTCCCTATATAAAGCCCCCCATGAATTTAAGGAGTAAAGAGTCTAGACTATAGCTCATATGTGAACCATTGCAGTGAAATTTTTCGAAGCCGCCCTGTTGTAGCGGAAGGAATGTATCAAGGGCTTTGGTGACAAGATCCCTGAGGAGGCAGCGAAGGTGATGGACCAGGAAGCTCTGATGCCTCTGGAAAGTCCGTGTACTCAACTTCAATAAAAATGCTGGCAGTCACCTTATCGTACTGGCACCCAATCCCCGACACCGGGACCAGGTCTCGTTGACGAAGGAATATTCAGTCCAACCATCAAGCAGCGTGGGAGGGCTCATTTGCCTGTTGGGGGTCGTGGCTGGGTTTGGTCGGACAGTTGATGTGTGCAGGATGTGGAGCGGGTCGAATACAAAGTCCATTTCTTGCTTTGCTCTGCCTGTTCTGCTAGGCCTTGTTGAAGCCATCATATGGACCCCTAAGATCACTTTCTTGTTTTTGAGGTGTTTTTCCCAAGTTTTCCGCCATTGCCCTACTTTACATGTATGTGCCATGCCCTCAGCCCCCAAAACCAGGAGCTAAGCAAGCTGGGGACCCTTGAGCCGCAGTCGGCTGAGTTCAATGCCGCTCGGCAGAAACTGGACCAAAGGGAGGTCTTTAAGTAGGATATTGACAATGAGGATGTTCAAGTGGTGTTTTTTTTCGTAGAGGCTAGGTGCCGTGAGACGTTGAGCAAGATCCCCCCTAATACCTAAACCCTAAACCCTAATCCCTATACCCTAAACCCCTATACCCCAAACCTAATTAAGCCCAAAGGTCTGCCGGACTTACCTCGAGTGGCTCACTGCTCTCCCATGGGGCAAGTTCAGCGAGGCGAGAGGGGGCAAACAGGTTTAACATGGGGGCCGTGCAGCAGCACATGATTTTGAAGCGAGAGTTTACTGCAACGTAGGACAACACTGACATCGAGAAGGCCGAGAAGATACTGAACGAGGACTTGGCGATGCTTCAGACGGATTGTTGACACCATCCTTGTCGCTTGAAAGACCTTGCAGGACCACTACAGCCTGGAGGAAAGTCGGGCAACACGATAGATTTTGGTCTTTGCACAGCCCGCGTGCGGATGGCGTACAGTTTTCATGGGCTCCAAACTGCGCAGTGTGATGCCTTGAAGGACGTCAAAGAGCGCATCCTTGAGCATATGGCCGTGAGCTTTCTGAAAGGCAATTGATGGATTCACAGTCTTTTTTGAAGAGCAGACTAGGAGTCCCATGAGAAGACATTCATCACCTTTTGACAGGCTCGGTGCATGGAAAAATCATGTGCTTGGTTGGGCCGCCCGGTGTGGGCAAGACGTCCATTGGCAAAAGCATTGCACGCGCTTTGGACAGGCGGAATGGGCTGGAAGAAGCAGCTAAACCCTGAACATCCCTGAACCATAAAACCTAGCGAACCTATTCTTATGACAGCTCAGCGCGAGCCTCTTTGTGGCACCCTGCGAGGCAATTCTTCCGTTTCTCGGTCGGTGGCTTGCATGATGTGTCCGAAATTCGCGGGCATCGGCGAACCTATGTGGGTGCCATGCCGGGCAAAATCATACAAGCTCTGAAGATAAAGTTTCCTGGTGGCACTCAGAACTGGTCAGCAGTCGTTAGATCGCCAGCAAAGCAAAAGATGCATAATCCTGGCCAGGCAAGTCTCCAATCCAGTTATACTGGTGGATGAAGTGGACAAGCTTGGCCGCGACTTCCGTCCAGCCCCCACACGGTACTAGATTTTTGGCATGGGCGTGCAAGTCGGGCTTGCATGAGGTGGCGATCCGTCATCCGCTTTGCTCGAGGTTCTTGATCCCGAGCAGAACTCTGCATTTCGGGACTTGTACCTGGCTGCTCGGGTGCACGACAAGGTTGAGAAAGCAGTGAGCTATTGATTCTATCACGGGTTGACGGCGTTATTCTTTCATTTCTTTCACAGGAATCAGGGTTTTTTTCGAAGGAGGCTCGTTTCAAGCAATCCTTTCGCAGAAAAATGCAGCCTAGGGGAGGGGGGCTCGAAATTCATGGGTTGGTTGACCTTGCTTTCCTCAGTAACATTATTTTGTTGGCTTCCTCAAACCTCACCACTCCTTTGTAGTGTTCGGTGCCCTTGCATGGCCATGGTTCAGTGTTCCATCGCCTTGAAGGGTCATGTCACGCGGAGCATCATCCTGGTGGTTGCATCTAACATGCCTCTTACATGTGTAGTGTTCTGCGCTCTTGACTCTTGAGTGGTCATGGTACCAATGACAGTTGCACCAAACCTCCTACTCTCGCTGTCATATTCAGTGCTGTATGGTCTTGGTGATGGTCGAACTGGTGACAATATCATCACACGTGGTTGTTGCATGAGACGCCCCTCCTCCTTCTCTCGTGTTCACAATTTTTTTGGTGGCCGTGGAACGTGTGACACATGCTGGACGGTTGCATAAAACATCCCTGGTCCTTCCGCAGCGTTCACTACCCTTGTGTGTTCACGGTGCGCAGACCACCGTGCTTGTTGCCCACCTTTCCCACTGAAGTCTGTTGGTGGCAGATCAGCCAAGGACGTGCCCATAGACCTTTCAAAGGTACTCTTCATTTGCACCGCAAATGTGACAGACACCATTCCAGGAGCGCAGTGCTTGATCTCTGAGCACAAAGCTTCTGCAAGCATGCACTTTCCAACGCATGACAGGACCTCTTCTGGACCGCAGCATGCCTGGTGTTCATGTGTCCTTAGAGCTCAAACAGGATTGATTGGTAAATCGTCAGCGCCCAAGGAATGGAGGTGATCAGATTGGCTGGCTATGTCTATGAAGAGAAGCTGGCGATAGCCAACCAATATTTGATCCCTCAGACCATTGCATCTCGGTCTCCTCTGAACCACCACGGATGTTGAACTCCAGCATGCATGGCCGAATCCTCATCCAATACATTCTTGCAGGCAACCAATGGGGTGCCTGAGGACCTTCTTGAGCTGCAACCTGAGGCAGGCAACATTTAAGTTGGGACGGTTGGGGTTCCAATGTGCCAGGCCTATTTGTCCAACAAAGCTGGGAAGACTGCGGCTGTCAGGCTCTCGCGGAGCTGATCCGCGACTATGCGCGAGAAGCAGGTGTGCGCGAACTGCGCAAACTGCTAGAAAAGATCACTCGGATGCTTGTCTTGTGAACAAGCATCCTAGCCGAAGCATGATGGGTAAGTGTCTCAGCCTAGGAAAGTGGCTTTGAGCCTTGTCCGCGTGGAGCAAGAAGCGCGTGAGCGCTCAACCATCTCCACAGAAAACCTGCGGAAATTCGTGGGCAGTGGGCTCATGGTCTTGTAGAATACGCATTCTGCGCGTAGCTGTCAGTGCCACGGCTTTTAGGGTGCAGAGTTTCATAAGGTCAGCCGCCGCATTCTTCGGAGCGGCACCTTGCTGGCAATCCAGTCTACTGGGTAGGCCCCTGGGATATTTAATATTTTCCCTAATGGCTTTAATAAGGGACCCTATATGTTAATCGGTTTAGGAGCCAACCCAGTCTAGCATTTGTAGTGTTTGATGCTAGAAGTAGGCTGAATGAATTTTGCAGCTTCAAGTTCTCCCTGCAGAAGCTCCAGTGTGTGAGGCTCTTTCAGGAGGCCCCTAGCGGTGTGGCTATGGGCTTAGCCTGGACAGCGTTGGGTGGCCAGACGCTTTTCGTCGAGGCAGCATGTGGAGATTTTCCGTGGCTCAGACCATCCCCCGAACGCTTGCGCTGTCTGAAATCCTAAGCTTGCAGGCACGAGGCCGCGTCCCTGCTAGTAGTGTGCCTTGGCCGCATGGTGCAGCATTGCCACCAACGTTGAAGCCTGCTGGCTGTGTCGTAGTCGGCCTTTCTGCCATCATGATGCATGGTAGTTTCCCAAAATAAGGGGACCCCAATATAGACCCCAATATACTATAGTCCTTATCATAGGGACCCCCAGAAAGGTACCCCAAATTTTAGGAAATCTCCGCATGGGTGCGTATGCAGAGATCACCTCAGGAAAGCATGGCAGATGCCACGCTGTCTCTGGATGCCACGGCTTCGGCTGATGGCACTAGCGATGTGCATCTCGGCCTGTGGCAAATCTCTCAGGATCGTATGTTTCTGTTTCTGACATTCAGAGCATAAAGAGAGGACTAAAGAAGCTGTCCATGCCCCATGCAGTCGTAAACATATATATATATACGTATGTATAGTTCTTGGGGCGTTTTCAATGACAAGCAGGACCAGAAACCTGCTTTCCTCCTGCAGTGCCATTCCCTTGCACCCTCAGGTATGTGGTATATAGGAGTGTTTAGGGCTCCTCAATGCTCACTAGTCTCTCAGCCTTCTGTGAGTCTTCGCCTCAGCTAAGGCCTTCTTCGAGCTCGAAGAGCTCCCCGCGGCCGCGGAATGCGGGACCGCGCATGAAAGTGACCGGAAAGCTGGGAAAGGCCACGGAGAACAACCAACGCCAAGCAGAGCTTCCAAAATCGTGGGGACGTAGCGTCTGAGGAACTTCAGTTTGCTTGGGTGTGCTGCGTGTATCCCTGCGCATTACATATGAAGCCTGCGTCTGAGCATGTCTAGCCACTTGTTCAGGGACAGGACTTCTTGCGAAGAGCTGTTCTGCTAATGGGCAGGTGATGGGCGAGTCCAGCGAAATCGCGCTCACCTATGCTCGGATCTTCCTGCGTGAGCTGGAGCCAAAGAACGAGTTCCTAGATCACGCAACTTGCTTCCTCTTCAGCTGTTCTCCTCCAGCACCACGCAAGATCAAAACTGTTCGTCTCCCTCAGCCAGCATGGCATCAGCTGTGCCACTCACGCCCAGGCACACATCCATTTGAACATGCCAGAGGGTGCCACTCCAAAGGAGCGGGCTGCCGGAAGAACGGGGCCATGACTTTGCTCAAATGGGGGTTTCCCAAAATTAGGGATACCATTTTAGGGATCCCCGTAATAAGGATTGTAGTATTTTGGGGTCGAAATTGGGGTCCCCTTATTTAGGGAAACTACCAAATGGGTATCTGCTGTGGTTGCTTTGGTTCGACCTGAAAAGCCATGTGAGTAGTATTTAATTTGGGGATACTATGGTACCCAATATAGAGTAAGATTCTATCCTCCTTTTGGGGTCTACTATTTTATACAAGGAATATAATCTTACTAGGTTCAACCACCAAAAAAACACTACTCATGTGCCTGAGATGGTTCAGGATGGACCATCTGCTGGAGTCACGATGACATCAGCTTTGCCTCCTAGCTGCAGTTGAGTTTGACATCCAGACGTCCCTGATTTTCGGAATGGAACTGTGTGTTGTCTGTCGTTGAGGCATCCAGCCCTCATCCTATTATTACTATTACCATTATTATTGTTCTTCTTATTACTATTACTATGATTAACAGTATTATTATTACTATGATTACTATTACCATTATTATTTTTATTCTACTTCCAGGTGCTTGTGCCCTGCCCAGGCTTAGCATGGCTTTGGATCGGCCAGTCAAGCGGGATATGGCCATGACCGGCGAGGTCTGCTCCTGTGAAGCGCCAGGGTTATGTTTCCGTTCTGCTCGTTCTTTTGCCCAGGTCACATTGACAGGCAAAGTTCTGCGTGTCGGCGGCATCAAAGAGATGCTTGGTGTATAAATGAATGATTGTCGTGGACTCGTCCCGCGTGCTGCTGTCCTAACTGTCTTGGTGTCTTTGGATGTTTTTGAGCGTCTGGACAGGACGAAAGTTGCAGCTCTGAAAGTAGCAGCTGCTCAGGAAGACGCTGGCTGCCAGAAGAGAGAATGTTGACAAGCTTGTCCTACCCATGTCCAACCAGGCGCACGTTGCGGCAGGATGAGGCATGAACGCTTCATCTTTAACATGGCTTTCCAGGCAGACTATCTAGAGCTGAAGCCGTACCTGCGCGCAGGCAGGACATGGTGGCCGTGTGTGATTCCATTTTCTGTCAGGGCAAAGGATAAAGGTTCACTGGGTTCTGGCAGTACTAGGTCTGACGGCGCACTTTGTCGACCACTACGACGATGTGTATCGTCTAGCTTTTGAGGACGGACAGAACCAGGCCAACCAGAACCTACTGGAATGCATGGCTGAAGTTATATTGGGTTATATTGGGATAGTATCAGGTAATATAGGGGTTATATAGGGATAATGGAAAAGAAAATGGAAACTACTATAGTTGCAGCACGCCAAAGCGTTGCAGGACACGGGGGCGCCGATGCCATCCGGCTCCCGCGGAAGCGACGTAGTGACTGTGGTCACTCCCTTGGAGGACTCGGAAGTGAGTAGATCACCTATATTAAAGAGTGGAGCTATAATCTAAACTCCTTAAAGGGGGGTATATAGGGGATTATATGGGGGACTGTTTTGGGGGGGGACCGCCCCAGGGGCCACTAAGGGGGACACCAGGAGTCCAGACTATAGCTCAGTTAGACCTACCGGGTTCTGCACTGCAGGAGGGGCAGCTACCGATTTTCATGACCGGGGAGTCATGTCTGCAGAATATTTCGGATCTTGGTGCGCAGTGTGAACTTCCACTTTTATGTCTGGGATTGTCCTCACAAGGCAAGCGGCGAATCTGCAACCACTGGTGCACAAGTGCAATGATTTTCGAGTTGTAGTGGCTCAGCCACCTGTCTCAGCGTCTCTGAAAGCGGGCAAAAGCACTCCGCATTCATCCCAAAGACAGGAGGTCAAATCAGTTGAGATCAAAGATGGCCTGTGGCTGGAAGCCGAGCCTGCCAGACTGCGGAAAGCTTTGTATGATATCCCGCAAGCATCTGAAGCACGTCTGCATCCAGCCGAGCAAAAAGGGAGCTACAGACCAGGCTTTTCCTTGCGAAGTGTTGAATGCCTGTGAGCAACACTCAGAGAGGTGAGCATGCATCGGCCCAGGTATTATGAAGGCGATGAGTGCGAATCTTGACATGTAATGATCTTGTGACTTCTCGTACAGAGCGGGAGAACCTGTTGGGTAGAAATGCCACGGCCACCTGCCGGGCCTGGTCTCAGAATGGCTTGCATGCAGAATTTTCTGGTGGCACCTAGCACCCAGGAGATGAACAAGTTTGATGAGATGATGGCCTTTCTGGCTGCGCGGGCAGCTCGCAGGCAATTCAGAGGCACTGTTTGTGCTGGCAGGAAGGTCAAAGGATCCTAAGTGTTGTCGACATGACTACATCAAGAAACGACCCCAGTTGTCTTGCTTGCTTCAGGATTCTGACTTCTGCCAAGTGGTCGCCGTGGATGCCGAGTTTGGTGTCTTTGGCAGAGCATGGTGCATGGAAGCTCAGCTGCAAGCCGGCCAGGGATGCTTCGTCCATTGGTCCGGGGAACATGGGTTAAATTGGGTATATGTTGGGTTATATTGGGATAATGGAAAATGACATGGAAACTACTATAATGGGTTATAATGAGCAACCCAATACCCCAATATACTATAGTACCTAAACCCTAAACCCTGCAAGCGCGATGCGACTTGCACGG